GCCAAGTAAAGGTTGCGCAGACTTTGCCAAAACGTCGGCGCCATTTAAAGTCTTATAAAGTCGCGATTGCACGAGCGGCTTTGACCAAGAAAGCTTATCATCCAATAATAAAGGGGCACAAAGGAAGATCACAACACTCTCAGAACCTAGACTGCCATCGGCAAAATCCAGATACATATTCTTTTCACAAATTCCTAAAAACCAATACCTATACCAATACTAAAGGTAGTAGCAATAGAAGCGCCACCGCAATGGCAACACTACCAGCGTGCTCGAGTGCCATTGGAGGTTAAGAACTTTAGGGGTTACAAAAACACAAATATGCATTTCAGGAATTGCCAAATCAAATGGCACAGATTTGCCAGGACGACACGGCGGCAAGAATGCAACTGGGAGAAACGCAGACGCTATTCGCTTTAGCGCTGGAACTGCTCACCGAATGGGAAAATCAGGTGGCAGAATTATTGCACCAATTGCGGCAGAAACTCTTATACACTAGTAGACGGAAAAAACTCAGGGAAACGAGCACCAACACTCCAAAAAAAAACAAGGGATAGATTTAACACACAGAGCATAGCACAGGGAATAAAGAATCAATGGCGTACAAGGAAGGGCCAAAATCAGGATTATAGTGGTTACAGGAGCTCCAGCTGCCAGCATGGAACAAACGCATCAGGCCAGAAGAGCGAATCCGTACTTTTGAAGCAATGATAGGTTATTTAAGGGAGACATCGCCAAGTCCATTGGCGACCGCATACCGGGAAATTTTTCCCATGCCAGCAAATCCTTGCCCTGCCCTAAAACGAGGCACGGATTAATTTCTGCAATGAACGCGCGCTATTCGCAATGAAGTGGTGTCGGCACAACAAGTTCAAATGGGATGAGTGCTTTGCACGCCGATGCGGGCAATACAAACAGTTAAGGTTTTCCCGGAGTGAAGATGCAGGGGGTTCGGGAAGCTATCGTTGGGCTTCAAAAACGGGATGATCCTTTCATACATATCGCCGCGAAGTGGCAGAAGAAACATTCGCCACCACCACCGCCCAGCAAAGCACGCCGCCACAATTGCGGTCGTATCGGGCGTTGTATGTTTACGCGCCATGTGTCTCTAAAGAAAGAAGATTGCAAGCCAAAAAAAAAAAACATTCACCAACGGAAACAGCGAACACCGTGCCCGGGAGGGATAGGGCAAAAACGAAAGCAAGACGCGAATTGCTGGGGAAGCCCACGCAACACCGTAATTTTCTTCCGATCGCAATTTTTGAATGCACCACAAACCATTACCAGCGGAGAAACGCAAAAGCAAAATGTACAACCAAAACAAATTCGGGTGACTTTCCCATCAATAACACTTCCCCCCCCCCCCCCCCCCCCCCCCACGGGAGGGCATCCACCAATGAGTTTGCGATAATGCCTGCGCGACCCACGATCCGTACATCGCGGCGTCGGCTTCAGAGGCCAGCCAGATCGCAAAACACATGCGGACCTGAACGGCATGGGAACGGCGAGGCTCAATAATGAGAGGGTTCGTTTGGTTTACAGCGCGGAACAATTCAGAGATTCTGGAAGATATTCCGTTATTTATCGTAAATTTGCGATTTCAAAAAGAACAGCGCTTTGCGATATACACGAACACGGATTACAACGTTGGCGTTGGGGAGAACGCCCACCCAAACGTCCCAGGCGCATCCGCAAAGGGGGCCGCATGCAGACCGCACAAAGAAGCACGCCCCATCTTGAGATGGGAGTTGGATATGATCAGCGAAAGTTTTGCGTGGGAAAGGACCCGGGCGGCTTTGCGATTGGCATCGGCTGCGGCCGGCCGTTGGGGAGAAATAGCGCAACTTCAGAAACAACGTTTCACAGCGCGCACCCAGAACCCACATGCCGTAATAGTGGATTGGAGGGCTCTTTCCTAAGGCATTCAAGGGCGATCCGCAAAACGCCGCGAGGTATGTAGCAATTGGAGTGGGGTACGCACGGCGGGTCAAAGAAATCCTGAAAGAAATGGCGGGCGACGGAAAGCCAATGACAGCAACCAAAAAAGATGTGGAAAATATTCTTCCCCCGCACGGCGCGACAGCCCACCCACAAAGAGAGGGTCAATGGCACACGCCGCGGCGGCAGCGGTCGAACACGATCGCGACCCACGATTGCCAACACGGTTGGGGAAACACGCGGATAAGATGGAAACCCCATTGGGCACGGCGCGGTGTCTAGGCCATTGGGGCAAACAATCGACAACTCAGAGCACCTGACACCATCGATGAAGGAGATTTGGAAAAATGGGAAGCGGAAAAATAGACCCTACCAGAATCCACAAAACAAGATTTTGGCGCCTCTTTTAAGGGGACGGCGTGCCGCGGCGATCAAATCGAAGTAGGGTGGAAACGAAAAAAGAGGAAGAACGATCACCGTTGCAACAAATAGGCGCTGGGAAAATGACCGCCAAATGGATCAGAAAACGCCAGAACAATAGCGCCAGGGGGCGGCGGAACGAGGTGTGGAGCATTATGCAAAAATCGAAACGCCTTTAAAGGAACGTGAATCCAATCTACGCATAACAACGCCGATGCGAAGCGTATGAAGGAAGCAGGCATTATTGGCACAGCTTCGCCATACCCAACCACAGGATGGATGATCCCGTTTGAGGTGGCGGGGGGTGGGTGGGGGCAAATTGTCAGGGAAGAAAAGATGTTTATTGCTTGGCTAAAGAAAAGAAGGCCCAGGACGATTACGAGGCCAATGTTCCTTTGGGTCGCATTTCTCGGTACCTGGTCCTGGTTTGCGAGGAAACCGCAACGTCATATGATTTAAACTCATCATTTTTCCAGGCGGCCCTCCCCGTTAACATGCGAGCAAGTTTCCGTTGCCGCACGGAGTCCGGAGAACCAGTCGGGTTCACTCGCCTTCCCATGGGGTGCAAATGTGGTCCTGGTGTTTTAAATACCATTACAAGAGTTTGGCTGGCGATCGTTTATTGGCATTGCCGATGCAAGCGTCGCTCAAGAAGTTAAAAGTACACGTTTGGATTTATGATATCAGAATAAGTGGTCCACACGAAAAGGTGGAAGCTTGGGGCACCAAATCGCGCATAACATGCAAAGCCGTGGGGCCACTATTGGGGAGCAACACCATCAAGCAAAGGAATATGTTTTCATAGAAATGCGCTTCAACCACAAGAAAAACACGGTTTCTTTAAGGAAAAAGAGAATAAAGAGGTTGGAAGAAGCACCGCCATTGGAATACACCACGGCTGGAGGCTTGGAAAGTAAGTTTCGCACGCGATGTGCGCAACGGTGGTGCGGGGTGAATCCCTTTTCCCTTACTATTTCTTAAAAATAGTGCGATGGCGTTTTTCTCGTTTAAATCGGGGTTTATTGCGGCCCCAAGGCCCAGCAAAGTTATAATCTAATGCCAGGGTCATTGGGCAAAGTTGGCTCAAACATTTCTGACGAACGGGCCCGTTCACCCACCGCGGCGGTTACCATCCACCGAAACGCTGGCAACAGACGCCTCCATGTACGGATGGGGGGGGGGGGGGGGGGGGGGCGTTGTTATTCAGGGATTCGGGGGAAGTTCTGGCCGCAGGCGGTGTGTGGGAGCATTCGCCGCTCATGATATCCCAAGCGGAAGGGCGTGTAGTTAATCTCGCATTGCGCGATTTAGAACGCAACTAACAAGCCCCTTCGATATTCGCATGCGAAGAGCAACGGCGATGATGTACATTATGCAAAAACGAAACGCATATTCACTGGCGTTAGTGGCGGAAGCCGGTGCCATAGAGAGTTTTGCGCTCACATGAAATGCGATCTACTCGAAGTTTCACCGCGTCCGAGGAAGCCCCGCGGACGGCATATCTAGGGAAAAAAAACATTTAAAATTTAGACGTTACGAAGGGGTGGAACTTGCGATGGGGAAGGCAGGGGGCGGGATAAAAGGGTTTCTCAGCACTTCCATTTTCACCCGTTCCGTTGTTTGTTTGTGGGGGCGACCCTCGTGGTAGAAAAAAAAAAATTGGGATGCGCACGCGCAGTGGCGAGTAAATGGGGGGTTCAAGATGATAAAGTAAAACACTGCTACTTATTCGTCTTTCTTTTTATGAAGTGAAAGTGAGGCTGGGGTTATTCCGATCACAAAAGGGCAAAGCAACCCCATCGACTCTCCTACAGGTTGGCGGTTCGCCCCTCGTAATGGATAATTGTTTTTTTTATTTTGACACAATGTTTTTGGCCAAAACCCCACGAAACTTACTTGGGCGATACGAACAGTTCACCTTTTCGCGCGTAAATGGCGATCCTGGCGGGCGTCTCGGAAGGCCCCCTCGCCACGCCACCCCCCATCCCTTCGAAAGAAGCCGCGCCCAGGTTCGACGAAAATCCGGCGGGTAGACCCGGAAGGTGGGGGCTCCCGAAAACTGATGTGAAGAAGAACATCGAGTCTTGATGCTTGAAGTTGGCGTCTTTGCCGCTGCAAAGGAAAAAGGATTTGGAGCATGCCATTGCCCGGTGCGAAAAGGGAGGAAGGCGATGAAATTTTCATATTTCCTTCCGTTGGTGATTTCTGGTGGAGTAGTGCGTTTGCCCATTTTATTGTGTTTTTTTTTTTCTTTCGATGGGGATAAACCTCTTTATTTCAAGAAAATAGGCTTCTAACTCTGAAAAGAACGAATGGGAGTTTACCCAACTTTTCCTGGCAATGCGGTGGTTTTAGAAGCGTGGAAATGTATGGCGATCTACGTAACGCTAAAAGTTCAGGATCAGTTCAGGATCGATACAACACTAATCTAATTGGAAAAAAAGAACATTTCCTTTTATATTGGCATGCTTTCTTTCTCGGGGTTATGGGTTCTCACGACTTGTTTTTTTTTTTTTTGGATTTTGTTGTGTGTTTTTCTTACGTATTTTTTTTTTCCTTTTCTTTATTGGCATGCTATGGTTGTTTGAAAATCATTTTTTTTCTTCTTGGTTATAGAAATTCTTGTTTGAGATTAAATTACAATGTTCTCTCGCACGTTTTTTGCGGCACAGCGGAAGATACCCTTCTACCCTATCAACCCGAAGAATCCACTCGTGTTCTTCGATATTTCAATTGGATCTCAGCCCGCTGGACGGGTTGAGATGGAGCTATTTAAGGACACCGTTCCAAAAACTGCGGAGAACTTCCGCGCCCTATGCACCGGTGAAAAGGGTGTGGGACGATCAGGGAAATCGTTGTGCTACAAGGGTAGCAAATTTCACCGTGTCATTCCACAGTTTATGTGTCAGGGAGGGGATTTCACTAATGGGAATGGCACTGGTGGGGAATCAATCTATGGCCTAAAGTTTCCGGATGAATCATTTGCTGGTAGAGCTGGAAAACATTTTGGTCCAGGCACACTTTCTATGGCCAACGCTGGACCCAACACTAACGGCTCTCAGTTTTTTATTTGTACGGCTGCTACTGAGTGGTTGGACGGAAAGCATGTGGTGTTTGGTCAGGTAACCAAAGGGTACGATGTTATTGAGAAAGTGGAGGCCAATGGGAGCCGATCAGGGGCTGTCCGTCAACCAATAACAATCACAGACTGTGGTGAAGTAGCAGGGAATTAAATGTTTTCTTGGTATTAGGATTAATTCTTGTTTTCATAAATGATGGTGTGGATTGTTCACTGGGTTCTAAAAACAAACAAACAAAGAACGAGATCCTATATTATTATTTTGGTATTTGTTTTCCCAATTGCTCTTTTTTTGGGGTATCGTTTCCTTTTTTTTTCACTTGCAATATTTTTCTTAAATATTTATATATTAAATATAGGCTAGTTGTTCTTCATTTTCGATATTTAAGTATGGATATAAATGCCACGCACAGCACGCAGCTTGAAAATGCTGCAGAAGAGGTGGCTGAGGCTAAACAATACCTCACTGATCTTGATCGGCGACAAAACCAATATAGGGAGGGTAGTCGTGTTATAAAAAATAAACAGTATTCGGAAGATCTCTGGTTATTGTGCAGTGGTAGAGTATTCGTCAAGTCTTGCTTGGAACCCAAGCATACACTTGACTTTTTATCCTGGAGATTGGATGCTGGGGCAAAAGAGATTGAACGTGCCCGTGATGATTTAAAGAGGAAGATAGCTTATCTGGCGGAATTAGAAGGATCAGAGGCAACACTTGCTCAGATGTTGAAAGGTTTTGAGTTGAAGCCTGTTAATTGAAGTTAGTGTCTATAAATATATATATTTCTCTCTCTCTCTCTCTATATATATATATATATATATATATATATATTATGCGTGTATGAGTGCTGAGCTCTATCACTGTTATTCGGTATGTTTTCTTGATATAATCATTATCTCTCTTCTTCATTTATCAAAAAAAAAAAAAAAAAAGGCTAGGGGGTCATTATGAACGAGCATTCAGTGGCTTCGTTTACATTACCATCGGTGAAAATACTTAGTTCTTGTTTAAGGTACCTTTCTTTTAAGGATAATGGAATAAAATTTGTTCTTTCCACCCGAAAGGGTTCATCTGAACTGCGTTTGACTCGTTCCGATGTCCCGGAGTGTAGCTACTCCGAAGTTATTATTGAGCTTCCCGAGAATGAGATGATGATCAATAAGATTGCAACAGATGATTCAAAATGTGAAAAAAGCATTTCGTGGATAATTGATTGTAGTTTATTTCTTCGAGTACTACGACTCTTTGAGAATTATGAATACGTGACGCTTCATTTGGGTTGCGATCTAACAAATGTCTATTTGCATTCAGTAGAATGTGAGCGCTGGGCAAGAGTAGCAGTTTTACATGACCTTGGACCACTTCTAAACGTTGATAATGAGGTAACTGTACTACATAGGATTTGTTCTCTTCAGGATTTCTTTCATATTGTGCGGTATATTGCAACTACAAACGAAGCCACTTGTACTGTTCTGCTACGTTTTGATAATTTACAGTCTGTTATGGAGCTAAAAACTACGAGTGCTACCGCCTCTCTTGTTGTTGATGGTCAGTCTCTACAAGATCGTATCGAGGGACGTGTGGCAACAATGGAGCTTGTGGCTTTTGCTGACTTGGCTATGCGAGTAAGGCAAAATGCCAGCCTTCATATTGGGATAGGTATGAATGATCTGACATTTTTCAGATTAGATTGGAAGACGATCACTATGAGACAGTCAACAGCTTCTTTATACTTTTGTAGCGAGTAATGCATCTTGTACTTTTGTAGAGCAGGGTTCATAAATAACCTTCTGTGAACTCCACAACAAAATCCCATTTTTTTCTTGCATTACATTCTGAATGATGTGTCAAACTACAAAGGTCCCTACTACCCCCTTATGAATATCTCTTTGATAACTTGCTCGCCCACTTCCTGCAGCAGATACTTATACTTCTGGAGTATTACAGCATACTTCCATATGCGTATTGTAATCATCAGAATCAAAATACTGATCATAGGACCCTTCTTATAACCACTTCAAAAAGTAAAAAAACCCTGTTATGGTTACACGTGGTATCGTCCATTACGACTCATTATAGCAAGAAAAAAAAAAAAAAAAACACCTTTAGGTAACAAAGTAAATTACACACCTTTTAAACAGGAACACGAGAAGATATGCAAACTTTGCATCAAGAAAGAGCGATTATCACAGAATCACTAAAACTCTTAAATTCTTCTGCCACTCCAACTATCACAACCCAATACGTCAAAAACTTTCAGCTACTTTCAGGAGAAAAGTGTATACCACCATTGATTTAATATGGGTATCACCAATTAAACAGCCAAAAATCACACGTGGCACTCATTTACAATATCAATGCAACACCTATGCAAATATCACCATCATGCAAACAGAAAGAAAAACTACAGCATTTAAACAAAATAGTACTATGAACAAAACCATTCACAAGAACTACAAACACAATACAGGCTAGAAGTTAACCTCTTGACCTTGTTGGAAAGAACAAAAATTAAATCATAGCACTCTCTCTGATTAGCTGTTATTTTCGGTGGAGTGCGCAAGAGTATAGTGTGCTTGAGTAGCGAGGTTTGTGACTGATCATGACCCCTGGTCCCTGTTAAGTGTGCTGCTGAGTTTTCTCTCTGCTGATGGGCTTTGGTAGAATGGTTGACGCTCCAGCAGCACTGTTGACTGGGGGAAACATTTGCACGTTTCCCTGCGAGGCCCATGTTCTATGTTCCCCCTTTTTTGACAAGCGAAAGAAGTGCTGCATACCAGTGCCAGTTGTGTCCCAAGATGGAGGGAGTGACCGTGACGAGTGTAGACGTCATTGTTTGGCTTCTGTGTGTGTGTGTGTTGTGAACTTGGCGTTTGTGGACCTGTGGTGCTGATGCAGCGCACTCAGGTCACCTGTGTTGTGCTAATTTTTTTCTTCCCTGATGCTGTTACTCTTTTTGTGGTCTTTTATTCAGATGCTGTTCCGTCAATTAGGACTGCAGTTCATGCGTCTAAGCTGTCAAGTAAGTCTTTTTCTTCTTGTTTTGTACATAGTTTGATAAGTTGGTGACAAAGTGCATGTATTTCTCATACACACCCACTCACATAAGGAAGGAAGGAGAAACCCCGTCACAGAGACACAGCATTATGCACGAGTTGACGTGCCAAGATACCATAGCTTCTTCTTGGGCTTTTTCTTTACCATGCACTTTCTGGAAGCGAGGAACAGTGTGGGGGGTGAGGCGCACGGTGCCCTTTCGGGATGCGCTGCTTACCCTTCTACTTCTGGTCTCCTTCATGCAGGTCACTATCACAGCGGCACAGAAAATAAATGTCACAGTCCTCGAAGTCCTGAATACGGAGAATCCACGTTATACAGAAACCGTGAAGGCATACAGACACGGCTTCCTTGCCTCTCTATGGCACCGAAACCACACCGGTCGGACAGCGGATGTGAATGTTGTTCACAAGGTTGTTACCGAAGGCAATATTGCTGCAACGATCGAAGACGTTTTGAATCAACATAATGACCTCTTAACGATGGTTGGACCGGTGTCTTCGCCACTGTTATTGGCTGCCAGGGAGACCCTCCAGAAACATAATATTGTTGCGTTCGCACCGCTTATTGATGATTTGTCCGTGCGATTCTGGGACAAACACTTCTATTTCCTAATGGGAGACATGAATGTCGCTGTGTATACCCTGATGCGCTACGCCATGGCTTACTTGCGTGTGCTGCGCGTGGGCTTTATGTACATGACAGGTGTAGTTTATGGCGAACATGAGTACAAGCTTGCTGAGAAACTGATGGCTGACACAGGCCGCAGTATTGGCGGCGTGTTTTGTCTGGATGGCTTGCGAGGTTTCACCTCGAGCGATGCAGAATTCCAGGAGGAATGGGAGAAGTTTGTGGAAACCCGTCCACAAGCTGTTCTTGTCATGGGTACTGCAACAGAAACCACTAAGTCTTTCATCAGAATGCTGTTCACGGACAACCGTACAAGTGAAATATACGTGATGGCACCGGCAAGACTACAGGAACTACTACTCTCAGTCTGGCGAGATGTTGAGGCAACGGGTACTCCCGTTCAGCCTGGGAGGGTTTTCACGACAGGGTCAAACCCATTAGCGAGTGACACCAGCTACAAATGCATCAAGAGATTTCAGGAGGTAATGGGACTCTACCTGAAAAACAGTGGTCAGTCAGAATACCAGGATGACCTACAGCACCTCCACGACGTAACAAGTGGTGAAATGATGGTTGCTGGCTGGATGGCTGGCGAAGTGTTTATGCAGACTCTTGATTCCTATGATTCATCACGTGATCGCGATTGGTATGTCACGTCACTTTTTGCCCAGCGTCGCTACTTGGTTGACGACTTTGTCATTGGTGACTTTGGAGACACCATTGATCCCGTTGCTGCTGCGCAGGGTGCCATGTCCGAGTGCAATCAGGGAGGCAACCTCATTTATCTGAAGGAGTTCGAAAACTCCTCTCTGGCCAAAACTCTGCCGGAAGGACAGTACACAAGCAAGCTGACGGATTGTTATCCAAGCTATGTTATGCACGATCCTGCACTTGCTGTGACGTTTCTCCTTACTGACTTTGATAATTCTGGGTTGTACGTGGCAGAGCAGATCTTGGCTGGTTTGGAGGGTGCTATTGACCCTAATGCTAACCACCTTTACAATCTAAAGATTCTCCCGGCGTTGATTGCTGAAACAGGGAATAGGCTAGAGCTGGAACAGCAGACATCACCTACTGACATTGTGGTGGGGCTTGTAACTGATGAGATGTTGAGTGCACCAGAGGTCGTGTTCATAGATCCCATTTTTTTTAATTCGCGCCTGAATTCCTTCATACGGAATGTGATTCTGCTTGGACCGACAACTGAGCAGCAGGTGTACGTACTGGCCCAGTACCTTGCCAGCACAAGCGATCCCTCTGGTAATGCTGTGGTGCGCGGTAGTATGGCTGAGGCCACCTTGGACGTTGTGCGCCGCTCCTTCGTAACGTTTGGCGTCTCTCTACGTTCTGGTGCGACGCTGGGAGCAGATGAATCCCTAGAGGGTAAACTGTCGGCAAGCGGCCTTACGCTTGCAATCGAGATTCTGGAACAGGACATTGAGGTCATGGCAAGGCACCTGGAGAAGAATAAGGACGCTCGCCTGGCGGTGCTCTTTTCGCCGTTCGCCGTCTTCTACCCCCAGTTTTTGCGTTTCTTCTCCGGGAAAGAGATTGCGGAGAGAATGCTGATTACTACGAGTTTGCCTCACTGGGCAGACCCGAAAGCATCGATTATGGTGTCGCGGTACCACGAGGTGTTCAAAGATAGTGCGCAGTGGTCACCGCTCTCCCTGAGCACCTTTGTCAGCACCAGCACAACACAATCTATCGCGCAGGGGTTGGATATTGTCGACTCGACCACCATTGCGAACTATTTCTACTCTAGGGTAATGGTGACAGTGGATGACATGATGTACGGCCCCTATACGGATGGAAACAGCACCACATGTACTGGTAGTGAGGCTACAGGATCTGGTTGTGGGAGGAACTACGGTGCCACGTCAATCTCTGTGTGGCCACTGACTCGTGCCTTTGATTCCTCTGTGCCACCGCTGATGGAGGGTATTACGCCCTCCATGATATACCGGGAGCCCGAGATCAAGGGACTGACGAAACGACAAATTATTGGAATTGCTGTTGGGGCTGTATTTGTGTTTCTACTGATTCCCGCTCTGCTTATGTTTGTTTTCTGTCGCCTCCGCAACAGTCGCGACAACGAGAATGCGCCTAAGGAGCCGACGGACCCTGTGACACTGGTGTTCACTGACATTGAGAGCAGCACGGCGCTGTGGGCTGCGTGTCCGGAGATCATGCCCGACGCTGTGGCGACGCACCACCGCCTGATCCGTGCGCTGATTGCAAAGTACCGCTGCTACGAGGTGAAGACGATTGGTGATTCGTTCATGATTGCGTGCAGGAGTGTGTTTGCGGCTGTGCAGCTTGCGCGTGAGCTGCAGCAGTCGTTTCTGCAGTATGACTGGGGTACGAGTGCCATTGAAGCCGCGTACCATGTGTTCGAGGAGGGGAAGGCAGAGGAGGACGATGAGTACGTGCCGCCGACTGCACGCCTCGACGCTGCTGTGTACGGGCAGTACTGGAATGGTCTGCGTGTTCGTGTTGGGATGCACACCGGGCTTGCTGACATCCAGCACGACGAGGTGACGAAGGGGTACGACTACTACGGCAGCACGTCGAACATGGCTGCACGCACGGAGAGCGTTGCGAACGGCGGGCAGGTGCTGCTGACGCGGGCGACGTACATGGCGCTGAGCACAGCTGAGCGTGAGCAGCTGGACGTGACTGCGCTGGGCCCTGTGGCGCTGCGTGGCGTGCCGAAGCCTGTGGAGATGTACCAGCTGGACGCAGTGCCCGGCCGCACCTTCGCTGCACTGCGGCTTGACAATGTTAATGAGGAACTGCTGGGTGACACATCAACAAGTGATGGTTGTTCTTCCGAACCGTTGAAGGGTGAGGTGCCAAATCCCGCTATTGAAGCTCTCACCAATCTGCTAACTATAATATTCAGTCCGTTTCCATTGAATCAACGAGCAAAAGCCATGCAACCACTGCTACAGCGATGGAACGTGAATATCGCATCTAAACCTGCCAGCATGTCTCATGAAGACTACTGCCGTGACCTTACAGATAAATTGGGACTAAAGTTGTGCCGTGTTATTGATCGCAGGGCTCAAGTGTTGACTGAGAGTTCGCACGGTGCCGGTGGCACTTCGGAAGCGGGACGTGGAAGCCTTTCCCACAGTCTTGTTGATCGACTTTTGGGACGAAATTCTATCGTTAGCTTTTCAGAAGCGCGCCGATCATTGGCTGTATTGTATGCACCTGTGGAGGTAACAGATATGAGCGGGAGCGATTCGAACGTGACTATTGAGGTGCGTAAGTCACTCCCAACTTCCAGGGTTGGAATGTAAAAAAAACAGATATTACACTAAAGCTTTGCTGTGCGACACCACCACGCCGTTGTGTGTCTCCTTCCTTGACAAGGTCTTTATTGCCGTAGTCGAGTGGCACCAGTAATACTTTTAGACAGTTCCTAATCGAGTCCCGGTGCTCCATTCCTACCTTACCTTGTTTTCAGTCATCGACGCATGTTTTTTGCGGCTTTTTTTTTCTTCTAATTCTCTCAGCGGATGGGAAAACATCTCCCCTGTGCCGCTGTATGGGCTAAATGTATTTGAGTGAATTCACTGTATCTAGGGTACGCTGACGAAACACTGGTTGTTTCGCTCTTATTCCCGTATGTGTTTCTTGTGCGTTTGTTTCTTTTTTTTTTTCCCTGATAATTGTATTTTTCGTGAGCACTGTCACCCCCTTTCTGATGTATTGCAGTGTCTCTTTTCGTCTCAGATGTATAGCACAGTGATGCTTCTAATGATGTCGTTGGGCAAAATATATGGTATGCGTGGAATATTGTGATTGCAGGCAAGATATACTATGTGCTGCAGGAGACACGTTTGTAGGCAATTCTTCTCATCCTGTAACCTGTGTGGTTACTCCCACATGGGTGTTTATTGTTGGCTCTGCGAGTGTCAGACTCCACATCTGGTGTTGTTGTGTTCTCTCTTTACTTTTTTTTTCTGTTTGAGTATATATCTATCTTTCCTTCTTTTTTTTCCCCATGGGTCTGCTTCTGTGTAGAAGGGGTAGAAAGGCTGTGTGGCGGGATGGGCAGACACCGCGTGGCGCTGGTGTCGGACTTTTTCTTTCCCGGGTTTGGCGGGGTGGAGGTACACATTTACAACGTGGCACAGTGTCTCATGCGTAGGGGTCACAAGATCGTTGTTATTACACGTGCGTATGGTGATAGGTGTGGTGTACGTTACTTTACGAATGGAATGAAGGTGTATTATTTGCCTTTTTTGGCAGCTAAGTTACCTCCGGGTTCAGTGACACTTCCGACCTGGTTTCTGAGTTTTCCTTACTTGAGGTCTGTATTTATTCGTGAGCGTATAACTGTTGTTCATGGGCATCAGACAACGTCTAATCTTTGTCATGAAGCATTGTTTCATGCTGGTACCTTAGGCCTGAAAACGTGCTTTACAGATCATTCTTTATTTGGATTTGCTGATGCAGCTTCTATTCACATTAACAAGGTGCTAGAATGGAGCCTTCGTAATGTTGATCAGGTAATCTGTGTTAGTAATACTTCAAGGGAAAATACTGTACTTCGTGCTAGAATAGAACCTGAACGTGTTAGCGTTATCCCAAACGCGACGGATACCTCCGTGTTTACTCCTCCAGAGGATATGAAGTACAAGTCGTGGGCCTCAAAGATTGACAAGGAAGGTCTGACAATTGTAGTTATTGCTCGGCTTGTATATCGAAAAGGATCTGACCTTTTCGTTGATGTGATTCCCGAGATTTGCAGGAGGCATCCTGATATCAAATGGATTATTGGTGGTGATGGGCCTCGTAGATCGCAGATTCAACAAATGATTGAGCGACACAACTTGATGGACCGAGTTAAAATGCTTGGACCTCTCACACACTCTGAAGTGCGGAGCGTATTGAGGCAAGGTCAAATATTTTTGAATTGTAGTTTGACAGAAGCGTTCTGTATTGCTTTAATTGAGGCAGCCTCTTGTGGCATGTTAGGTGTGTCAACGCGGGTGGGGGGTGTACCTGAAGTACTCCCACCTAATATGCTGCTATTGGCTGAACCTGATCCTGCCTCTATTACTGCGGCACTAGAGGAAGCTATTCTTCGTGTTCCATATCTTTCTCCGTGGGAAATTCATGAGAGTGTTAGACGGTTCTACAGTTGGGACTGGGTAGCGGAGCGCACAGAGCGAGTGTATGAAAGAATTTTGGATAGTAAAACTCCGTCACTTTATGAACGTTTGATGAACTACGCATCAGTTGGAATGTTGTTCGGAGTTATATGCTGGCTCTTGTGTATTATAGATTGGCTTCTTCTTACATTTCTTAATTACTGGTTCCCAGAAGATATGATTGATATTGCCCCTGATTTTCCTCTTGAGTTGTACTTGCGCAACCGAGAGAAATTAAATGCTCTTGAAAAAGGTGCCTGAAAAAGACGAAGAAATACATTGCATTGACAGTTGAATCGCTGTGGTGATGGATTTTCTTAATCTCGCACTCTCTCTCTCTCTCTTTCTCCCAACGGATATATATATATATATATATATAGAGAGAGAGAGAGAGAGAGAGAGAGAGAGAGAACTGCATGTTTTTCTTGGACTTGGTAATAACAACAACTAGGATGTTTATATTATACCGGCGAAAGTGAGAAAAATAAGAAAAAAAAATAGATCTTTTCCTATTTTTTTTTTTTGTTGTTGTTGATGGGATTTTTCTGAGCTGTCGTTGAAAGATCTTCTGGGGTCTTCTTCTTTCCTCTTTCTTTTTCTATTCAGACTCCTGGAAGGATGAAAGGACTACCTATCCGTGAAGTGAGTCGGCTCTCTGAGAAACTGCAGTCAAGCGGAGGTGGGAACACAAAAGTGCAACACATCATTGCGGAAGGTATTCGCTCACGTGTTTTAGACAAGAAAACATTACCACTTCTGCTCCAGCGACTCGCACTCACTGGGAACTGGAGGCTTTCTATGCAGGTGGTGCAGAGTGATCTTCTTGATAAACACCATATTAGGCGAGAAGAAAATATCTGGAAGATACTGGAGCACGCGGCACCATGTGAGGAAAGCCGCCAAACTGTTCGTCAGACACTTCGGCAACTATATGCACGGACATATGGTCCTAAAGGCCGGTGAAGTAATACTTTGCTTCGTTTCTATTTCCTTGCATTTCTATTGTAATGCCAGAGAAAAAAAAGAAAAAAGAAATTGATTTTTACTCTCTTTTTTTTAAGTGTTGGGAAAGAATATTGCTATATATTGCTATATTTATATATATGGATGTCTCTGTGTGTTTGTGTGCTCTCTTTCTTTTCTTTTTTTCTCTATTCTCTCTTAGAGGTGTGGATTTAACTGCTTTTCCCCGGATACATCCAGTCACCAATACAAAAAGAAACCAAACAAGAAGAAGACAAAAAAAAAGAAGAAAGAACAACAACAACAACAACCATAACAACAAAAAGAGACGTGTTAGGGAAAAGATAAAAAAGGAAAAAAAAAATAATAATAATAATCCCACTCTTATCCTAATGGACCGCTGGGCATCTCTCGCCCGTCCCCTGCCACCGGCAGACATTCAAACCCGCGATCTTCTCTTCCAGCTACTCGACTGCTGCCAGACAAAGGGAAGTCCACACGAGACGGTTTCCACCGTAAAGCACCCGGAAAACCCCATTGTTCGTCTCTACGGTGTGACTGCAGAGGGATACAGCGTCCTTGTTCATTGCTACAACTATGAACCGTATCTGTGGATTAAGGCTCCACAGAATTGGTTACCTGTCTACTCACAGACACTTATGAATGAATTGAACTCTATGCTTGATTCCCAAACACATGTATCAGGTACTGTAGTGCGTATTGAGTTACACAAAAGACGGAGTATTATGTACTATCAAAATGACGGCAGCAGTGATCATCTTAAGATTGTTGTACAACTCCCGCAACATATTCCGAAACTTAGAGGTCTACTCAGCGATCGTGGTGTCATGTGTGCTGGGGCATGGGAAGGTATCCGTGTCTTTCCAACCTTTGAGAGTAACGTTATCTTTCCACTCCGTTTCCTCGTTGATAATGATATAGGTGGTTGTAATTGGCTTACAGTACCTGCAGGGAAATTCTTCCCTTCCACAGTACGCACCTCAACATGTCAAATTGAAGTTTGTTGCTCGCATGAAGTAGTTCAAAATCATGAAGCAGTTGGACAGTTTTTGTCCATTGCCCCATTTCGTATTCTTTCTATTGATATTGAATGTCAAGGCAGGAAAGGATTTTTCCCAGAACCTGAAAAAGACCCTGTTATTCAAATAGCTAATCATTGTATAAACTATGGTAGTGAATCAGAACCACTTACGCGATCTATATTTACTTTAAAAAGTTGTGGAACTATCGCTGGTGCTCAAGTTTACTCATATGATACAGAAGAAGAAATGCTTCTGGCTTGGGTACGTTTCGTTAAACTTATTGATCCTGATATTTTTACAGGATATAATATTTGTAATTTTGACTTTCCATATCTTTTGAATCGTGGAATAGCGTTAAAGATCAATGATGCTTTTCACTACTGGGGACGTCAAATTAATGAACGAACAGTGGCACGAGATAAGAAATTTATGTCTAAACAAATGGGAAACAGAGAGTATACTGAATTAGTATTAGAAGGTCGTGTAATTATGGATGTTATGGTTGTCATTCAACGTGATTTTAAACTTCGAACCTATTCTCTTAATGCTGTATCCCAGAATTTCTTGGGAGAACAAAAAGAAGATGTACATCACTCTATTATTGCAGATCTTCAACAAGGTACTCCAGAAACACGTCGTCGTTTGGCGGTGTATTGTTTAAAAGATGCGTTGCTACCAGTAAAACTATTAGAACGACTTATGATAATGGTAAATAATGTAGAGATGGCACGTGTAACGGGTGTACCAATTGGATGGTTACTAGAACGTGGACAACAAATTAAAGTTTTCTCCATGCTTTTACGTAAAGGAAAGGCTAGAAACTTAGTCATACCTACAGTAGAATACTCTGGTGGACTTGATCAACGAGGTTATGAAGGTGCTACTGTTATTGAACCTATAAAAGGATTTTATAACTGTCCTATTGCCACTCTTGACTTTGCATCTCTATATCCTTCTATTATTATTGCTCATAATTTGTGTTACTCAACACTACTGCGCCCATCTGACATTGCGAGATGTCCTGAAGATATGTTAAGTCGTACTCCTACGGGTGATACATTTGTAAAAAAAGAATTATTCCCTGGTGTTTTACCTGAAGTAGTACAAGATCTCCTTGCAGCTCGAAAGCATGCAAAAACATTAATGAAAAATACCCCTATAGAATCGGTGGAATATAAAGTTTTAAATGGTCGTCAATTAGCACTTAAAGTAAGTGCTAATTCCGTTTATGGTTTTACAGGTGCTCAAGTAGGGAAATTACCTTGTTTAGAAGTTAGTTCTTCTGTTACGTCGTATGGACGAGAAATGATTGATAAAACTAAATCTCTTGTGGAGTCTCTTTACAATGGCGTAAAGGTGGTATATGGTGATACCGATTCTGTGATGATTAAGTGTGTAACGGATGAGTCTAGCAGTGATAAGGAAAGGTTAAAAGTTGCGATGGAGTTTGGAAAGGAGGCAGCAGAAAAAGTATCGAATCACTTTCTTAAACCTATTAAATTGGAGTTTGAAAAGGTGTACTTTCCATATTTATTAATGAACAAGAAGAGGTATGCAGGACTCCTCTGGACTAATACAGAAAAATATGATAAATTGGATGCAAAAGGCATAGAAACCGTACGACGTGACAACTGTCCTCTTGTGGCCAGTATTGTCTCTGGAGTTTTAAATAGAATATTAATTCAACGTTCAGTAGAAAGTGCAGTAGAGTATGTAAAAGGAACCATTCGTGATCTTTTACTGAATCGTCTGGATATTTCACATCTCGTAATTACCAAAGCATTCTCTAAAGCAGAGGATGAGTATGCAGGGGGACAGGCTCATATTGCCCTCGTTGAACGTATGCGAAAACGAGATCCCGCATCTGCTCCAAATATTGGGGATCGTGTGGCTTATGTTATCATACGAGCGGCGAAAGGCGCTAAAGCCTATGAACGAAGTGAAGATCCTATTTACGTATTAGATAATAATATTCCAATCGATACACAGTATTATCTAGAACATCAACTTGCCCCGCCTATTTTACGTGTTTTTGAAGGTGTTCTGGATGATCCAAGTGTTCTTATAAAGGGTGAACACACACGGCATATAGCGGTATCGGCACCAAGCAAAAATGCAGGAGGTTTAATGAGTTTCGTAAAGTTTCAACTTCAATGTATTTCATGTCGAGCCGTTATAAAGAGTGGAGCCCTCTGTGAAAATTGTCATCATAAAGAACCAGATATTTATGGAAAGATTGTGGCAAAACGAAATCACTACGAGGCAATTTATTCACAGGTATGGACCCAATGCCAACAATGTCAAGGATCCTTAAATCAGGAGGTTATCTGTACCAGCAAGGACTGCCCCGTATTTTATTTGAGAAAAAAAGTACAGAAGGATGTCAGAGAACAACAAGAACTCCTGGATCGATTCGGTGTCGTGGATGATTGGTAACATTTCTTAACGCCTTATGTAAACAACAACAACGAAAAAAAAAAAAATACATACATACATATAATTGAGGGTAACAGGTAAATTAATGACGAAAAAAAAGAGAGAGAGAGAGAGAGAGGAGTGTGAAACCAAAACTTCTTCAGAAATCAAAGAGGAGAAGAAAAATAAAAGGTACGATAAATTGAAAAAAATATATATATACATATATATATTATTTTTCTTTGTATTTGTTTTTTTTTTCTCTCTCATTCTGTTCTTTTTTTTTTCTTTTTTTCTTTCTTTTTATTTATTTATTTATTTATATACAACCTCTAAGTTTCCATCTGATGATGATGATGACGACGACATGTGCGGATCGTCGCCCAGTGCGACAGCGTCAAGATCTACACACCGCCAGCGAACTGGACCGTCGCATGAATGATCTCGCGGCGTCTGAGTTGTATGAACAGATACTGTTGGGATGTGTGCGGGCTGGTCTTGACCCTAACGCCAAGAGTGAGGCCGAAGTGTATGAAGGTTACATCCCACCATCTTTTGATGCGGCCCAAAGTGTGAAAGTGGCAGCAAAGCAGCGAAGACGACACACAGAAATATATCATGAGCGAGAAAATATTATTAGAGGCTTACGTGCCTCACCCAAACACCAACAACTTTCCGCCTTTGATCGATTACTCACAGAAACGGAGTATTGGACAGGAGTACGTGAATGGGGAGGAGAACATGAAGGGGAAAATAAAAGTCGTCTTCGTCATCGTTACAGTAAAGAAGGGGAAACAGATTCCATGGGGTTTGATGATATGTTACATCTCACTGAAACACCATCGTATATTCGAGGAAAACTACGTCCATATCAGATTGAAGGAGTAAATTGGCTTTTAGGACTCTTTTCTCGTTGTATAAATGGAATTTTAGCAGATGAGATGGGACTTGGGAAGACACTGCAAACGATAGCCACATTAGCCTATCTGAAGTTTACATATGGACTTCCCGGACCTCATCTCGTTGTTTGTCCAAAGTCTGTTATGGGTAATTGGTACCGTGAACTTAGACATTGGTGTCCAGGACTTAGTGCCTTTAAGTTTCATGGATCTAGTGATATACGTCCAGAATTAATTAAATCTCATCTACAACCATATGATAATATTAAATATGATGTGATTGTGACTACATTTGAAATGGTATTAGATGAATTACCAACGTTTAAACGTATTCATTGGCAATATCTCATTGTAGATGAGGCACATAAACTTAAAAATGAGGAAAGTCGTGCACATAATGCCCTTGATTCTCTTGTTAGTAATCATCGTCTTATTATAACAGGTACACCATTACAAAATAATCTTAAAGAACTTTGGGCATTATTACATTTTCTTGTTCCTCGCCTTTTTGATAATGCTGGATCTTTTGAAATGTGGTTTGATACTACAAGTGGACAACAGGATAGTAATGCAATGTCTAATATGCACAAAATACTTGCTCCTCTTATGATTCGACGTTTAAAATCAGAAGTTAATACTGGTATACCTCCAAAGAAAGAAATTTATGTTGCTTGTAGTTTAACCAAGACACAACGAAAATGGTATATGCATGTATTAGCAAAAGATGCAGAAGTACTTAATAAATCTTCAGGTGGAAATATGTCTTCTTTAACTAATATTATGATGAGTTTGCGTAAAGTTATTAATCATCCTTATATGATGGATGGTGGAGAAGAAGGTCCACCATTTATTACAGATGAACGTATTGTAAAATACAGTGGAAAGATGATTATTCTTGATAAATTACTTCATCGACTCCTTCTTGATAAAGAAGAAAAACATAAAGTTTTAATTTTTTCTCAATTTACAACTATGTTGGATATTTTGGAAGATTATTGTTCCATGCGTGGATTTAAAGTATGTCGTATTGATGGAAATACTAGTGGATATGATCGTGATGCTCAAATGGCAGCATTTAATTCACCTAATAGTGATTATTTTATCTTTTTACTTTCCACACGAGCAGGAGGTCTTGGTATTAATTTACAAGCTGCCAATCATGTTGTTATTTATGATTCCGATTGGAATCCACAAATGGATCTTCAAGCACAAGATAGAGCCCATCGTATTGGACAAAAACGAGTGGTTCGTGTTTATCGATTTGTAACGGATGGTACAGTGGAGGAAAAGATTTATCGCCGGGCATTAAAAAAACTTTATCTTGATGCGATGGTGGTTCAACAAGGACGTATGCAAGGACGTAATGGTAATAATGTTTCTAAAGAGGAACTTCTCTCCATGATTAAATTTGGAGCCGAGGAACTCTTTAAAGCAAAGGATGAAGATATTACAGAAGCAGATATTGATAGACTTTTCGAAGGAGAAGAAAAATCTAAAGAATTGAATTCCACTATTAAAGAACAAATTCAAATGTCTTTAGCCAGTTTTAAACTTGGTGCGGAGGAGGCGAATGTATATGATTTTGAAGGTGTACGATTTAAAACTGGTGTGGAATCTCGTATGCTTCACCTCACTCTCACAACTCCCATTTCACAAGATGACTTACATCATCAATGTTCTCAATATGGAGAAGTGACAAAGGTGGTACTTCATCCAAACTTAACAGAAGCTCTTGTTTTTTTTCGATCCACCAGTGGGGCAATTGAGGCTAAAGATAATTTACCCTACACCTGTCAATTTGCAGCGAAAGATACCCAAATGGTGGTACCAACAGAAATGATTACGGAATATTTAAGTGTGGGAGAGAAACTCGGACGTGGACATCGTGTGCGAGAGGCCGTTCAACACTACACAGAGGAAGAAGTGGAACGTTTACAAAGTCGCGCCACGAAAGCCCCACCATTGCGATTACCAAAATGTCCAAAGTTTCTTCCTCATCAATTATATAATCTCAAACGATTGCAGGAACTTCACAATACGGAAGTGGCTCTCATGGTTCAGAATTGGAAACGGAAGTATGAGAATACAGGAAATAGTGATGGCCCCCAACAACAACAACAACAGCAACAACAGGAAAAAGGAGAAGGAACGGATGGGGAAAAAAATAATGAAATGGAGGAAGATGAAACGTTAACAACTGTCGAGCAGGAAGAACGAGAACGACTTCTTCAAGAGGGATTTGCAAATTGGAGTTTCAGAGAATATCGTCGTCTTGTAGCCGCTCTCTGCAGTGGATCTTATGATGTAACGGATTATCCAGGTTTAACCACCGCAGTGGCATCTAACAAGACAGTGGGAGAAGTACGAGATTACGTCACTGCCCTTCTTGAACGTGGGGAACAGTGTATAAAAGGATTTGCCTGTATTGAAGAACGTATTAAAAAGTCTCAGGCGAAACGAAAAAAGAATGAAGATGCCCTTCGAGCGGCTAGATGGAAAGTGGAAAGTTACGATCATCCAGAGTCTGAATTAACATTTAAAGGTCGTGGGACACATGAGTTTGATCGAAATCTTTTTCTCATGGCATATGAAACGGGATTTAGTATGCAGAATATGGGAGAAGTTATTAAAGGAATGCCGGAAAACCGTTTTGATGTTTGGTGTCAATCAAGAGGAGATGTTTACTTTGAACGACGACTGCGAGTGTTAATGCAATCCGTAACGAAAGAGTGGGAGAAACCAAATGGGGATGCGGGGGAACCTGTATTACGACGAAGGAAACTGGAACTTTCTGAAAATGGATTTAAAAAATGAAAAAGAGAAAAAAAGAAAACTAAAAAAGAAATAAAAAAAAAATGAAATTTTGGGGAAATGGAATAGTTTATATATATTTCCATAGAGTGACAGAGAGAAAGAAAGAAAGAAAGAGAAAGCGATAGAGAGAGAGAGAGAGAGTTTGTTCTCATTTAAACAGATTTGCTTCTGACGAAGGTCAATAGATTGTGCTATGAAATGACATGTTTTTTTTTTTTTTTTTCTTTCTCTGTTTGTGGATATATGAGAAAAAAAAAGAAAGAAAAGAAATTTCAGTGCCTTTAATACTTCTACTACTGCTAATACCACAACCATTTATGTTTATATTTATCTTCTTTTTTATTATTATTTATTTATTTATTGATCATGCTATCCTCCATATATATATATATACGTGTGTGTGTGTATTTACGACTATTCTTGTAAATCCTCATTTTTATTTTACCTCTTCTAGTTCTTTTTTTTTATTTATTTTTCTGTATTGTTTCCCGTTAAATAGCGTTCGTTAAGAAATATATATATATTAGTAGCTTTCTGAAAAAAAAAAAAAAAAGATGGGGTTTGACGCTACCACGACACTTATTGCTGGGACCGTTGAACTTAAGCAAGTTTTAGGCTCCGGTGGATTTGGTAAAGTATACCTCGGTTATGATAGGAAGCGAAAAATAAATGTAGCTGTGAAAGTCCTTCAAAAGGAAAAAATAGAAGCGTTTGATATAAAATCATATGTGGATCGTGAAATTGAGGTAATGCGGAAGATACGTCATCCGCACATTGTAAAACTACTTGACGCCTTTGAGTCATCAAGTTCATACAATCTTGTGATGGAATTGGCCCCTAATGGGGAATTATTTGATAAAATTGTGAATTCCCAACGATTTGATGAGCAAACTGCTCGTTTGTATTTTCAACAGCTGATGTCCGCCGTTCATTATTGTCACGGTCTCCATATTGTTCACCGTGACATCAAGGCTGAAAATCTTCTCTTGGGCGAACAAAATGAATTGAAATTGTGTGATTGGGGTCTCTCACGGTATACAAAGGAAGGCTGTTTTACAGATGATCACAAGGTTCTGTTTCACTCTCTTGCGGGAAGTATTGATTACCAAGCACCAGAGGTATTAAGTGGTAGAGGATATGAAGGAAGTGCATGTGATATGTGGAGTTGTGGAGCTATTTTATTTTTTATGCTTTGTGGTTATTTACCTTTTACAGATCGCACAGATGCAGAGACCAAGCGACGTATTCTTACTTGTCAATACAACAGAAGAAATAGATATCTCTCTCCAAATGCTGCAGATCTTATCGGACGTTTACTGGAGTTAGATCCTAAAACTCGCTACACTTCAGAAGATGTTATTAATCATCCTTGGTTTCAAGTGGATTTGGATATGTCATTATTTCCTAGTATGCAATTGGAATCCAGCTCCTCCGCCTTAACAACACCAAAGTCTGGGGATTTTATGCAACGAGTATTATCCCCAACATTGGGATCAGAAGAAAAGGGCTCCGCCTCATTTGAACAATTAAATGAAATTGGTAGAGCCTTCGATGCATGTAATGTGGATGGAAATGGATTTTTAAATCATGAAGAGGTCCGAGATGCACTTATCAAGTTAAAGAATAACGAACCGGTATCAGAGGAAGAAGTAAAAAGTTTTATGTCCAATTTCGCTCAAGATAAGGATGGGTGTATATCAAAGGAAGCATTTATTATTGGATGGACACAAAACCAAAATGTGGGTAAAAAGTACAATATCACCTCCATGGCTAATTTATTCAATTATGATTTAGAAAAGGAATATTTGAGAGAAATTCGTCACGCTTTTGATTCTATTGATGTTGATCATACTGGTTTAATTACAGAAGAAGATCTAAATAGACTTCATCTTGGTATTTCAAAAGAAGAAATACGAGATTTCTTTCATACTATTGATCCACAACGTCATGGTGGAGGAAGAATGTCATTTGAGGAATTTGTTAATATGTGTACTCGTTATGATGCCTTTAAGGATCACCCTATTGTACGAAGACTTCGTAGTATTAAAGATATATTTAACGTTACTGAAATTGGAGCAGTAAATAGTTGCGTAGGTACAGGATTTACAGTCGCTGGAACTAGAGAAAATATTAGTATGCGAATTCATTCAGCAGAAAAGGCCCTTTCCACTCAATTCGAAGATAGTGTAACAGGTACTCTTTATGGAACCTATATGGAGTCTAATAAAAAAGTCATTGAAGTGGGTATTCGTTTACTTCCTTGTATGTCTAAGTATACTAGAGTCATTCCATACCGTATTGCAGGGAAAACCACTGTATTCCATCAATGGTTCTTGAATCTCCGAAAAGTACTTCGGGAGGAAATTCTGCGTTATGAGGAAGATACAATGGTTAAAGGTCCACCCGAGCTAGTCTGAGAAAAAGAGAAAAAAAAAGGAATATTATATATATATATATATATATATATATATATATATTTAAAAAAGGGGGAGGTGAGGTGAGGTGGGAATTGTAGTAGCAGTGAGACACGATGGAAAGTAAAAAAGAAGAAAAAAAAAAATACTTGTAGTGGCTGGGCTCATCTTTTTTATACATATAATATAATATATATATATATATATATATATATATATTATGTATAATAATTAACTCTTTATCTCCTTACCAAACGTTAGAACCTCTTTATATTCTCTCCATGAAAACGAACAGGGAATAAAATGTGTTTATATATATATATATATATATATATATATTTACAATTTAAAAAAAAGAAAAGAAAACGAAAAGAAGAAACAAAAAAAGGAAACTGCAAATACTTCAATGTGGTGGGTATGCAGATGTTACTCAGAAGGGAAGGGTAGGGAAGGGAAAGGAACTCCATTGATAGAGAGAATAGAGGAAAGAGAGAAAAGAATGATGAAAAAAAAAAAA